GAGTAGTTTGAAGAAAGGGAGGGTGTGCTGTGCAGACTTGGCGATGAACCGGGAAAGTGAGGCGAGCATGCCGTTGAGGGATTGGATGGACTTCTTTGTGGTGGGTGTGGTAATTTCCGAAAAGGCGTGGCACTTGTCCGAATTTGCCTCGATCCCGAGCTCCGTCAGGTAGTAGCCGAGGAATTTTCCTGCGTGGACGCCGAAGGTGCATTTCTCCGGGTTGAAGCGCATTCGACATTTCCTCGCTGTGTCGAAGACCTTTCTGAGATGGGCCATGTGGCCGACTTCCGTGTAGGGCTTTACGATCATGTCGTCCATGTACACCTCGAGCATGTCGCCGATTTCCCCCCGGAAGACGTTGTTCATCATCCGTTGGTACGTGGCGCCGACGTTCTTTAGGCCGAAGGGCATTACGTTGTAGTAATAGTTGCCCGACGCCGTCATGAAAGCCGTGCTCTGTTTGTTGTGCTCGGCCATCGGGATCTGGTTGTACCCCGAGTAGGCGTCCATAAAGGACAAGAGCTTGAAGCCTGCGGAGTTGTCGACGAGTTTGTCGATGTTGGGGAGAGGATAGGCGTCCTTAGGACACACCCGGTTGAGATCGGTATAATCAACACACATGTGCCATTTTCCATTATTCTTTTTAACGAGTACAACATTGGACAGCCAGGTTGAATACCGGGCTTTCGAAATAAAATTTTCCTCTAGGAGGTCTTTTACAGCTTTTTCAGCCGCCGCCGACTTTTTGGGGGATTGTCTATGCCTACGTTGTACTACGACCTTCGCGTTCGGGTTGATGGACAGCTGATGGCAGGCGACCTCGGGGTCGAGTCCGGGCATTTCCGCGGCGCTCCAGGCGAAGAGGTCGTCGTTCTCGCGGAGGCAGGCCTGTAGCTGTCTCTTCGCTAAGTCTGGGAGTCCGGCGCCGATCTTCACGGTTCTTCTCTTGTCGTTCCCGAGTGTCATGATCTCGAATTCACCATCTGGGAGGGGGCATGCTGGGTAGGTGGGCTGCCCGTTGGACTGGTTGGTTTCGCCGACCTCTCCTTCGTGATCGTGCTCCTCGGTGAAACGCCTGTCGAGGTCCACAGATCCAACGAGCTCTTTTGGTTCGCTCTTCGGCGTCACAGTTGGGGTTGCCTTCTTAGTTTTTGGGGCGATGGTGCTCAAGCCTTTCAGCGCGACCTCGAAGCACCTCCGGGCAGCCTCGATGTCCCCTTTCAGGGTCACTACGGCCCCCGCCTCGTGTAGTACTTCATTTTTAGGTGGACGGTGGAAGGCACCGCGGTGAGTTCGGCCATCGTCGTCCTGCCCAGAATACAGTTGTAGAGGGACGGGCACTCGATGACTAGGAAGCAGATATTCATCTCCCTGGCGGTTTCCTCTTCCCCGAACGTGACTTTCAGTTCCACGTATCCCCACAGTCTCGTGGTCGTCCCGTTGAACCCTTGGAGGTCAGAGCCCACGTAGGGGGATAGGTTGGATTCGTCGAGTTGGAGGGTCGTGAAGAGGTGAGTGTACATGATGTCCACTGAGCTGCCCCCGTCAACGAGGATGCGTCTGACATCAAAGTTCGCCATCTTCACCTGTATCAGGAAGGGAATGTTGGAATTGGGGGAGCCTCCGGGGAGTTCCTCGAGGTAGAAGGTGATCGGGTTGGATCAGCCGCGAAATTTTTCGAGCGTTCTCATCTTCCCGTAGTTGCTCGTGATAAGTTCTTCAAACTTTCTTTTCACCGATCCTACGAATAGGTTCCTCGTAGAGCCGCCGAAGATGACCATGGCTCTTGGGAAGTATTCCCATCGACTGGTGGGTCGTACCGGTTCGTCGTGCAGGTCAGGGCCGTCGGGGAGGCCGAACTCTCTATCAGCGAACCAATCCTCGGGACGGCTGACACATAGAGTGATCTGGAGTCTGTTATCGCCATCCAAAGAGGGGAGCTCTTCGAATTTCTTGGCCTCGGGAGCTTCTTGCCTCAGGGTTTCTCCCCCCCGGGTGTATCTCTTCAGGTGGCCATCCTTAATTAGGATTTCGATCGCGTCCTTGAGATGAATGCAGTCTTCCGTCACGTGTTCGTGGCTCCTGTGGAAACAACAGTACTTCGATTTGTCCACATTGGGCTTGGGGGCGTCGGCCTGGGGAAGCGGGCACCTCCCTGGATAAATTCGGTCTTGGCGCATTCGGCCAGTATGCGCTCGCGGGAAGCGACTAGGGCCGTGTACTCCGTGAATCTATCGGCGGGGCCGCGTTGTTCGCGTTGTTCATGGGGGCGATCTTCCCGTCGGCGATCACCTCCGCGCCGGTGGCTCGAAGCTCCGTCGTCTCGGTGCCCGCGGGGGGTCTCCCTGTCTCGGGCGTAGTTGGTTGCTTGAGTTTCCTCGAATCGGATATAATGTGCGGCTCTGTCGAGGAAGTCTTGCAGAGATGCTGGTCGGTGTATCCCCACGGCCTCGTAGAACTTGGAATCGCGGCGCAGGCCCTGCTCTATTAAGTAACGCTTCATCTCGTCTGACGTTGTTACCTGTACTGCCTCCCGTGTGAATCTCTCGATGTATTTCCGGAGAGGCTCGTCGGGAGCTTGGATTATGGCGCCGAGCGCGGCTTCTGTCTTCGGATGGCGCCGGGACGCTGTGAAGTGTTTTGAGAACAAGTCTTTCAGGACCCTCCAGGACATAACCGATTCTAGCTCGAGACTCTTGTACCACGTCATGGCGCCCTTCCTCAGGGTTATCGGGAATAGTCTGCATTTGATAGCCCCTCGAACATTTCGGTAGTCGAGCATGGCCTCGATGTCTTCCAGGTGATCATCCGGGTCGGAGGTGCCGTCGTATGTCGAGAGCGTCGGGGGCTTCTCCATCCCGTGGGGGATGGGGGCGGCCATGATTTCACGGTACAAGGGAGTCCTATAGTCATCTTTGTCGCTGAGAGTGGGTGACCGAGGGGGGGACGATCCATTTGGCAGAGGTACCTGGTTTCGGGTCCTCGGCCTCCTGACTGGGGGGTCGATGCGGGGAGGTCCGGTCGGGGCCCCTGCTCTGGCTTGTCGTCTCTGACGAACTTGTCTCGTCGGGGACCTTGTCCACTCCCGTACTCCTTCGGGTTGGGGCCTCTCCAGCTGAGGTCGTCGATTTCTGGGCTGAGGCGAGGGACTCATCGAGTTCCCGTTCAGGTCTTCCCGCGGCGGGACCTCGGCGGGACCTCGCGTTCTAGCGCTCCAATCCGCGTGTTCTGCTGAAACAATAGCTGGTTCGTCTGGTTGATGGCCGCGAAGAGGGCGGCCACCGTTGGGTCCGCTCTAGTCGGGACGGGAACAGGTTGGAATGCTGCTGGGCTTTGGGGCCGGTGGACAGCCTGGTGTGTCGGTTCTGTGGGCGATGGAGATGCAGTCTAGCCGTCTCTCTCGTTGGTCTTCGCTGGGTGTGACGTCTCTGTTGGCTTGCCGCCGTTCACGTCAGTGTTGAGCATGAAGTCGTGCACGGTATCGTCGTGGTGTGGGCTAGCCATGATCGTGGAGTGTTGGTGAAACTTTGGTTTCCTGCTCGGAGTAACGGGGAAGTTTTTGTTCCCACAGACGGCGCCATTGATCTGACCTGATCAGAAGGGGATCACGGGCTGGCCACACTTTGTTGGACTACTACCTGTTCACCGGTGATGAGGAAGAGAAGGAGGGTGTACCTGCAAGACACTCCGATGCCAAAGTAAGAAATTGGGCAGAGTAAGAGCAAAGTACAGAAATGGGGTAAGATGTGAATTACCTGACCCTCTTGTGGAAGAGGGTATTTATAGAGAGACCCCAGCGCTGGGCCAACGGTCACTTGGGTTGGGCTGGATTGTCAGGCCCAACCCAGGTGACTGCTAGGGCTTACATGACGTAGTGAAGACCAGGACGTGGTCTTCGCCCTATTCCAACTGTCCCGTGATCTCCGGAAAGTGAGTTTGACCTGCTCTTTCGGAGGTGGGCAGTTGGTGGATGACGTGTCCCCACGGAGGGGGGCACGTGGAGAACGTGTGAATGACACGTTGACCTGCCCGGCGAGGGAGCAGGTCTTGCCCGCAGAGGGCGGTGTGTGGTCGTGATGGGGGTTCCTTGCCCGACGTGGTCGGCACAGGTCCTTCTCATGGGGAGACCGTCCCTGCTCGTCGGGGACCCGCCGCCCGACGCTCTGGCCCCGGCTAGTCTGGGCTCGGTGGGACAATATTGGGCTGGGCCCGTGTGGTCAGGCCGGGGCCCAGGCCAGAACAAAAACTTTATCTACCATGTTAATCGAGTCAGATCATTTTAGTGTTTAGGTGGTTATTGGGTGTTTCTGGTTTCTCTTTGTTGTTAAACATATTTATTTGAGTTGAAAATGAGGTTGCTGCTATGTTATGTTTGAGCAACCCGTTTTATTGGATCAATGTGACTCTTCTATAGTATTATTTATCTATGCATTTCTTATACTTAAGAGTTTTGTTGGTGATATTCTTTTAAATTTTTCAGAAAAATAAAATAAACAATGAAATGAATATTAAATTTGCATTTGAGTCTTTAGCCGCCAAAGTTTACAAACATTTGAACTCCCCACAATTTTGTGCTATTATTATAAACTAAAATACTGATTCATTTAACAGTGAGAAGAAAACAAAAATGTCCAAAAGAATTACTCTAACTTATAAGAAGAAAAAAAATCAACTCAGACATGTGACATGACTTGAATCAAAATAACAATAATCCTAAGAAATTTCAAAAGCAAAGAATCAAGATTAGATCCAACCCCACCACACCACATGCCACTGTTAAAAGAAACCCATCCAATTTCTGACTGCAACAAGAAAAAAACAAGTCATAAAATATTAAAAAAATAAACAGTACTACCTCTGTTTTCACTCTCTCTCTCTTAGTCACAGACACGATTAAGTTTAACATTATAAAAGGCATTGTTTCAGACAACTTTTTCTGCACTCTTGGTCCTTTTTCTTCCACAGAAACCTCTTCTGTGTAAGGTTCAAAACCCAACAAAATGGGTTTTCTGTTACCACCCTCTCTGTTTTTATCTCTGCTTCTTCTATTTTCTTCCCACGAAACAAAAGCTAATCAGCTCAATAACTTCAACCCATCAATAACAACGACAACTACCATTTCCAATAGTAGTAACGAAAGAAAACTCGCAGGAAAATGCAATTTGTTTCGTGGCAAATGGGTCTATGACGCTTCATATCCTCTCTATGATCCTTCTTCTTGTCCTTTCATAGATCCACAATTCAACTGTCAAAAATACGGTCGACCTGATACTCAGTATCAGAAATATAGATGGCAACCTCTCACTTGTTCTTTACCAAGGTAGCTAGCTTTTTCTTATTTTTCTTCCATTTTATTTTCGTAGCTATCAGACGTAAAAGTTAGTTATACGATATAACTAACTTTTACGTCTGATACTACGTCTCAAATGTGAGTCAGAAGTCTCAAATTTATGTTTGTTTTGTTGGTTTAGGTTCAATGCATTGGATTTTCTAGCAAAGTATAGAGGAAAGAAGATTATGTTTGTTGGTGATTCTTTGAGTTTGAATCAATTCAATTCATTGGCATGTATGATTCATTCATGGGTGCCAAATACAAGAACTTCATTCTCAAAGCAAAGTGCTATTTCCACGATAACATTTCAGGTTGGTTTTTGAATTTTTTTTGTTTTTTATTTATTTATTTTTATTTCTATTTTTGAAATTTTTGAATTTAATGGTAATGAAATGATGTTTGTTATGTTTGGTGCTTAATTGTATTAATGCAACTGGTTTCTGTTTTTTTTTTCTCTGCCTTTCTGTTTTTCACTTAAATTGGAAACTTTTTGGATAATTTTCTTGTGTGAACTCAATTTTTATTTTCTTCAAATTTATGAATCAACTGCGAAATTTGTGCTGAAAATTATTTCAATTTTAAATTTTGTGTGAAACGAAACAGTGGAGCGTGAATTATAAAGTGTGAAACGGATTTAGTGGAGCGTTTTTCCCTTTGCCGGGACATTTAAACTAAAGAATAATAAATGTGAATCTATCATGGATATATTACCATGAAATAGTAATAATTCAAAATTTTTTACTAAATTATTTTTCTCATGCAAGAAATTTAAAAACATTAAAATATTTATTAAAAAATACTTAACTTGGTCCATTCAAATTCTCGTTAATTTTGTTTGTCTATTCAAGTCAACCAGTCACTTCAATTAATAGTTATACAGATATATTAGATTATTTAATTTCAAATTTTAAAATATATATATTTATAGAAAAATATAAATATATTTGCATTTTCTTATAACTTTACCTTCTCTTGCTTGGAACGTGCGCATTATTTTCTTTCCATATCAAAATAGAGGGAAAAAAAAGAATAAAAGTAAGCATCTTTCATTTATCTTTTTTATGTTTTGAGTATTTAATATGTGCTTTTTTTTAGTATTTTTCAAACTTTTTATCAAGTAAGTAGTTTTTTTAAATATAATTATTTTTATAAAAACTATTCAAATATATTCAATTGAATACTATAAATTTTAATCAATATTTTTAAGTTTGATTTTATATGGAAATTTTCCACTACATGAAACTAAATCCTCCAATAAAGTAGTGTATGCTTCTAATTACCAATACCTTTTTGCTTTATATGGAAACTTTTTGACAAATGTGTTAATTAGAAATAATTAGTGTTTGACACCAAGTTTTTCTAGTAGTCAATAATCATCATTAGTGGTAACTAAATTATGAATACAACATTACTCAGCTAATATATTCTTTACACTACTCCTTTTTTAAACTGCAATGATTATCAATAATTTAATAATTTAATTTTGGTTTTCTTACTTTACTATGTTTGCCCTTGATATAAGCATCAATTAAGCCATCTACATAAAATTTTTTTTTTGAAGTGAGCCATCTACATAAATTTTTTTATCCTTCGTTTTTAGAATTATTTTTTTTGGTCTCTCACTCTATAATTGATCCAGCTAACGTTGAAGTGTTTCAATGGACAAATTTAATATTTAATATTCATGTTATATTCCTTCAACCTTCTAAGTTTGAAGACTTTTCCTTTTAAAACTAATATGAATATATAATTAGTAATTTAGTTCTTAATCCTTTAAAATATTGTCCTTCAATTAGTCTCTTCTAAAGGACCACTTGACACCGGTGGCCTAATTCTCTATTTGCACGGCTTTTGCTATATAAAGTCAGTAAACTACAAAAGTGTCACAAAATATTGGGCCACATATTTGTGATGAAGGAAGGAATTTTCCTTTTCATTTAGTTATTTATATTCTAAGATACTTTTCATTTTCGTTGAACTTAGCAGAAAAAAATCACATCACTTTGTGTGAGGAAATTTCTACTTCCATTGAAACTCAGGTCACGGGTCGTCGTTGACGGCACACAATATTGTATCAGAAGATTTGTGACTGTTTAATCAAGATCAAATATTTTAAATTTTAAATATATGTAATAGACAGTTTTATTGTGATAACACTTCACGATTTTTTCTGTCAATGTAATTGCATGAATGACAAAGTTTATCTATGTGATTGTGTCAATGAGAAAAGACAATCTTAAAGATAAAATTAAAATTTGTCATTTTAATTATTTTCAGGATTATGGTCTCCAATTATTTTTATACCGCACACCATATTTGGTAGACCTAGACCGTGAGAACGTTGGGAATGTTCTAAAGTTAGACTCGATAAAGAGTGGCGATAAAGAGTGGCGATGCTTGGAGAGGAATGGATGTACTGATCTTCAACACGTGGCATTGGTGGACCCACACCGGCAACGCACAACCGTAGGATCTATATTTAACATCATAATCACAATCAATTTTACTATTAAGAGGTGATTAGTAACATTGATTAATTATTTGTCTTTGTTTTTGACATTTGAATATAGATGGGATTATATTCAAGAGGGTGGCAAGTTGTACAAAGACATGAACAGATTCATTGCATTTTACAAAGGCTTGACAACTTGGGCTAGATGGGTTAACATCAATGTAAATCCAACCCAAACTAAGGTCTTCTTTCTAGGAATTTCTCCCGTGCATTACGAGTAAGTTTTTTTTTAATATTTAATTTAATTGATTAAATATATTTTTGAATTTTTTTTAGTTTTGACAGAATCATAAGGATTCTGTCAAAGCTATAATTAATGTTGTCTATCTATCAACTGAGTTAGACAGGAGTTAAGTTTTGTTAACTATGTATCTATATATTTAGGGGTCGAGATTGGAATCAACCAGCGAAATCATGCATGCGTGAGACACAACCATTCTTTGGTTTGAAGTACCCAGCCGGAACACCAATGGCTTGGGTGATAGTGAACAAAGTATTGAACAGGTTAAAGAAGCCGGTGTATTTTCTCGACGTGACGACACTTTCTCAGTACAGAAAAGATGCACATCCGGAAGGGTACAGTGGTGTTATGTCAACAGATTGTAGTCATTGGTGTCTTCCAGGACTGCCTGATACATGGAATGTTCTTCTTCATGCAGCTCTTTTTGGTTGAAGAACTTATGTATGTTTCTTTAGGCCAGGAAAACCTATTGTTTTCTAGCATAGGAATTATTTAATGTGGTATATTGATTGAGTTGTTTCAATTGGACAATAAAAGGGTTGGTTGTAAATTTTTCATATATTGTTTTGGCAGAAACGTGCCTTGATTGTTGTACCAAATAGACAGTGTTTGGAATATTGAAAAGTAGTATTTGCAAGTAGCAGAGAACTTTCTTGTGGAATAACGTGCTGATGGATCTTTTGTGATTGTGAATTGCTTTTTTGAAAAAGTCATAAGAATATCATCCCACTTTACGGACTAGTGCAATTTAAGCATCATTTATTCTCTTTAGAGGGAATATAGGATTATGAAATTGGCTGCTCAAACTTAATTGAAAACTTTAGCTAATTTTAACTTTATTATTATTATTATTTATTTAATGTGACCATATAGTCGGTGTGAGAAAGAAAAAAAAGAGCACGAGTCTTTGATTAAAAAATTGTGAACATAAAAAAAGTTGTAATTTATAAAATAATTCATATTGGAATGGGCCTAACGGCCTCTGATCTGGTTTGGTCGGGCAATGTAATCTGGTTGTCATGATTTTCTCCACCAAAAATACTAAAGTAAGGGGTTGTTACTTACACCTCCCTTGTTAGTTGCATCCTTCCCTTTATTTAATACTGAAGAGGATAGATCTTAGAATGAGTGGGTTGAATTTGATTTAATTTAATGCTGAGTTAATTTTATTAATTTGGTTAACTTTTATAAGTAAAGAGTATATTAAAAATGAATACAGGTCATTTGACCCAAATACAAAAGGAAGTCTTAAGACAAGCAATTTATAAGAATTGACATCATTTTTTGAACAAAAAAGAATGACCTTAAATTTAGCTCTAAACTAGTTTCAAAGAGAGCAATTTAGCCACCAAAACAGTTTAGCTAACCAAATGATTATTTTAAAATTAGGTCTTAACCTATCTCGCAAAGCATGATCAAAACGCAACAAATATTCAAAAGTATCAATCCAAGGACAAATCTTACTTAAACCTATCCAATCTATACAATATCACACATCTACAACAATAAGACAGGAAATGAACAAATGACAATGAGATTCTTCTAAGTCGAAGCCAAACGTAAAAATAAGATTATGTGCACCTGAGGTAACTCCCTACTTAGTTAGCTCGTTTCTTGTTTGAAGCCTTTTTAGAATGAGCCTCCACGCAAACACCTGAATATTACTTGGAACATTTGATTTCCAAACACAATTTAAACCCAACTTTGATTCGCACCCAAGGGAGAATCCATATTCAACAAGTTTAATTTAATAGAAGCGAATTTAACAAAAAAGGCATTCGCATCTATCCACCAAATGAACTTATCTTGGATATATTGTCGAGGCGCAATTTCATGGAGAATTGCAAGTAAATTATCAAACTCCATGATAACACCAAAACTCATTATCTATTCGACTCGATTCGCACATGTTTTATTGTCATTTTACTCTTATTTCTAGTGTTATGTTGGTATTTTATCTATGTTTCAGGTGGCTAATCAAGTGAAAGTCATTACACAAAGAAACATAATGAAACAGGCGAAAATGGGGGAAAGACATATTTTGTACTCATGGGACTTAGCATGGCGTTCGCCATAGGGGTCGCCATGATATAGTGTTGGCTCTAAATTTTGACGCCTGAATTGGATTAAAAGGAAGTAATAGAGTTTTTGAAGAAATCGGATGACTTCGACCATAACTACATTTTTGGAGTGTGAGTCGAAGGCTTCCCTTTGCAAGGAGGAACTATTTTATGGGCTTAGAGATATTTCCTAACAATTGGGAAATGTGATTCGACAGAGGTGCTACTTAAGGCATTTCGATAGGAAGATTTGAATTCAAATAAATGAGGGAATGTGCGTTCTTATCCATTTCTCAAAGAAGACACGTGGAGCGCTTCCAAGAGTCGAAGACATGCATAACGCCACTTGTCTCGATTTAGTTCGCTAGCCGTTGATGGCAGTTATTTTCGATTAGTATAAATAGCGAGTCTTAGTGTTAAGATGCAGGTATGTTCAATTGTGTACAAATAACGAGTCTTTCAACCATGGCAGTTATTTTTGCTATCGTGACAATATACGTACGTTGATGCAACACCATTTTTACATTTCAATGCTATTAAATAAGTCTTTTTCTTAAGAATTTACCTTTTCCTTGCGCAAGTTACTTTCTACATTTTTTACCAGTCTTTCGATTTTAATCTCTTATGTTCAATTCAATTTACATTTTGAAACAAGTTATTTTTATCATGAACTCTGTCGAAGTGTTCATTGTTTTTCCAAACTTTGTTTAAGATCAACTAGCACATGTCCTAGGATTTGTGTGGTCGATCCTGCGAGTAAAAAAATCTTTTTTGATTTGGAAGATCAGCGGTTGTTCACCAATTTTCACGGCGAACAAATTGGCACGCCCAGTGGGACAGTGCTAAGTGATCATAAATTTTTCTTTAAAATTCTTGACAATTCATTAGTTTTACCGTCAACTTTCTCTTCGAAAACTTAATTGAATGTTATTAAGATATGGTAAAGTAGCCACTGCTAATGAAGATAGAACAAGGAGAAGATATAGGAGGAGAATGGCGACAAACTCTGCCTAGCCAAATATTCCTCAGGATACGCATAGTAACAATGTAGAACCACCCATAAGATCTTCGACAGGAGGACCAACGGTCTCATCGCCTGTCTCTAAAGTAATACCATTTATGGAAAGTTCAATACCTATACATTCGATTGTCCATACACAATCCATTCTGACTTATATTGGGCCAAGGGGTCTTCCATAAGCTCCACCACCAATAGGGGATTCAGCATTCAGAAGCGTCCCTCCTCCTGGATTTGCAGTACCATTGCCTCGAGACCCACCCTATGGAATGCCAACTTCGATGATGACAAACTTGCAAAACGCCCCTCCATTATATATAGAACCCGTAATTACTTCGTCATTACAGGGATCAGGCTCTGGGGTAAATATGGGTCGAAATAGTCAAACTTTAGGATTAGGGTATTCCGCCCAAATGTCAAATTTGACAACCAGTTCTACATCATACTTAAGATAACAGATGGACGAGAGTAACGTTCAAATGGTTCAAATAATGTCCCAAACTATGGGGAAAATCTTTTAGCCTCTTATACAAAATACTACACAAACTAATCAACAATTAGCAGCGCAAATGACGTGCCTTGTAGAATTCTTTGGTGTACCAAATCTCCCTCGACAACCACCAAGCGAGTATATGATAGAGAACCAAGGGGTAGTTTTTGACGAAGATACCACTATTAACCAAATTCAACAAAACTCAGGGAATATACCCCCAGGAAAATCATGACAACCAGGGAATGATCGAACGACCTAGAGTCGAACTCCCTAGGAATCAACTACAAATTCGTAGAGAAGAAACACGAAGGGTAGTTTTGGTAAATAGGAATTAGGATGCTGAAAACGTTGTACAACAAGTTCGACGTAACAACATAGTAGCAGAAAATAATTTGGCTGCCATGGTCGAAAGAATCATGGCACGTAACAGAGTAAATTTTGGCCTGCGACGACCAAATTATACATCACCATTATCTGAATACATCCTTCAATCAGATTTACCCCCAATAACAAAGGTTCCTAAGTTTACTAAGTTTTCCGTGGATACTACTGAGTCCACTATCAAACATGTGGCTAGGTATTTGATAGAAGCCGGAGAAATTTCGAATGATGAAAACCTTGGGGTAAAATACTTCCTAAGTTCTCTTACAAAGAACGCTTTCACTTGGTTCACAACCCTACCTCCAAATTTGATTCATAATTGGACCCACTTAAAATGTTTGTTCCATGAGCAGTTCTACATGGGACAAACAAAGATCAGTTTGAAGGAATTAGCTAGTATAAAACGAAAGTTTACTGAGCTAATAGACGATTATTTGAATAGGTTTCGACTTTTCAAGGCAAGGTATTTCACACAGGTGCCAGAACATGAGTTAGTCGAAATGGCTGCTAGGGGCCTGAATTATTCCATTAGGAAGAAAGTAGATACTCAACACCTGAGGGATATGGCCCAGTTGACTGATAGAGTTCGACAGTTAGAACGCTTGAAAGAAGAAAAGGCTAGGGCAAATAAGAATAAGAGAATAGCCTATGTCGAATTGAATGAAGAGGACGAAAGGCTTTACAGTGAGCCTGTGAGTTTCGATGAGAATGAAGAAGATCTCACTTAACCGAAACAAGGCTCACCCTATTCTTGTAAGGTTTTAACACCTTTGAATGGAAAGAGCCCTTCTGAACCAGAAAAGAATGATGTGAGTTTATGCGCGGCCTCTAAGAAGGGTGTGAATTAGATTTATTGGACTTTTCTCAATTTGAAGCATTAGCACTGGTTATGTTATTTTTCAGAAATGATATGAAAATAAATATGCTAAAAAATAGATACGGAAATTAAAGAACACAAAGATATATCCTGGTTCCCCTCACAATCCGAGAGTACTCCAGTCCCCTCACTCCCTGTGAGAGATTTCCACTATGTCAGATCTTTGTATAAGTCTTCCACCAAGACCTATCCTACAATCTTATAACATAAGAAACAAAATCAATAAGGATAACCCCCTTATAATCTTTACATAGTGCAATGAGAGAACAATCCTCCCTTATTCACTCTCTTGCTTCCAACAATCCTGGACAGTAAGGAAATCAAAACAGTCTAAATTTTTACAAGTGTTTGAATTTGTATAACAATGTATATCAATTCCTATAATTGATCTTCTCTATCAAGTAGGAAATTATTAATATGTAGTACAAGTTCTTAATGATATATGTAGTTGAAACTATTTGAAAATGTAATGAAATTGATGTGCAAAAGTTTCAATAAAAAGTTATGTTAAGAACACTTGATTTTGAAAATGAGAGAATATAAGTTATGAATTGCTATGAAAGAGAGATGAGTTTGAATTCTGAAATGTATGGTTTATATAAT